GGAAATTTAACATTTAAAACCACATGAAAAGAAAAGAATAAGCTATGTGGTTTATACTTATATTACTTTAGGCATATTTAAAATGGGGTGGTGGGACTAGAGATCTGGCCCTTGAAGATGACCTGGCTTGGTTTCCAGGAATCATATGGGATGGCTCACTACTGTTTAGAACTTCAGCACCAAGGGATTAAATACTCTTGTCTGGCCTCAGAGGATACATGCACTCAGCTACACACACACACACACACACGTAAAATGTATGAACTCAGTTAACGGTTACAGCATGCATGATTCAAATGTATAAGCTCAATGCAGGGAAAATCCAAGTAGTTTGTTGGGAAGTGGGTACGAAGTCCCAACATTAACTAAAAAGCTTTTGGCAATTAGTATAGATTTGATTGGAAAAAAAAATTAAGCAAAGAAGAAAGAGAGAAGAAAAGAAAAAGAAAGGGAGAAAACAAAGTTGGGTGTAGAAGAAAAAGGATGAGGTGGCGAGGGGTGAATATAAACAAATGTATAAAATTATATATATAATACAAATAACAAAATTACCCAAGAGTCAATGGGGAGAGGGCTGAATGCCTAAGAGTACTGGCTGCTCTTCAAGAGGACTTGGCTTTGATTCCCAGCACCCACATGTCCATTTGCAACTATGTGCAAATTCAGATCTATGATTCTTTCTTCTGCCTTCTTGTGCACCATGTCTATAGGTGGTGCACAAATGCTCAGATGACACACCATACACAATACACATATCTAAACAAAAATTAAAATCACATGGGTGCTTCATAACTGCCTAAATGAAACATCGCTTTATGATGATAAGAGGAAGCATGTACAGGGCAGAGGTGCTTACATAAGAAAGCTAAGAGATATCTACCATAGCTTTACAGAGATATTTTTGGAGATACAGACCTGAGGCCAGGAGGTATTCAGCTAGAGATGATTTTTTATATAGATACTGAGCATGTGTATTTTCACAAAAAGCATTTGACTGATTTATTTGAATATCTTTGTACAAAACAGCAACCAGGACAGTGCATGGATGAAGACCTCATAATAGCTGTCCATATTTTCCCTGTAGATACATTAGTTACATCATACAATTATATATCAAGAAAAATGTTCAATTTATGAAGATGCAATTAAAATTAGGGACAGAAAAGGAATTTTTAAACATAAAACAAAGAAAGACAGCCCACAAATCACAATCCCAGAGAACCTAGACAACAATGAGGACCCTAAGAGAGACATCATAGATCTAATCTACATGGGAAGTAGAAAAAGACAAGATCTCCAGAGTAAATTGGGAGCATGAGAACCTTGGGAGAGGGTTGAAGGGGAGGGGAGAAGCAGGAAGAAAATTAGAGAAAAATGTAGAGCTCAATAAAAAAAGGAAAAAAAAATTCTCAAAAAGTCATATAGGCATGTCTATACACAGGCAATTGTACAATTGTATACTAAAACACACTTCCACACAAAGATGCTTCTCTGACCATTCACAAATCATGCTCAGTTACAATCCACATAAAGTTTAAAGGCCTGTGTTTTAACTCGGTTGTGCTTCAGGTTAATGATGAGTTGGCAACTATAAATGAATAAAGAATTACAGATAATTTTTACAGCTGTTTTGGTTGCAGGTGCCAACCTCATTTGTATTTATAGAAAAGAAATGGAGGTAGTTATGAAATGCAGTGATTGTAAAATTGATATCAAGACCTAGTCTTGAAAGAAAACTCAAGTAGAAATTTGAGCCAGTAGGTGTACAATTTAGCGATTTTTGATCCATTTTTATTTGTGCAGTATTAAAATCAGATCTAGAACACTTTTACCACCCTAGAGAGTTTACTCATTCTCTTTACCAAGCAATTTCCTCTCCACAGGCTTAACACTACCCTGATTTTTTTTGTGTGTTTGTGTGTGTGTGCATATGTGTATGTAAATGTATATATTTCAGATTACACATTGCAATATGTTTGATTTTGCAATATCGCATGCAAAGATTTGTATGTTGTTAGTTTTTTGAAAGTGGTGATGTTTGCCTCCTCCATGTTGCCAGGTGTAGTAGCCCAGAAAGTCTCAGTTGATAGTCTTGGAAGAAACGAGTCATTATTCGATGCTAACTTTAAGATTAGCTCACAGTTTCGGGATATTAGCGTCTACAGGTTCTACTTCGGCCTTCCACTATGCTTCCTTGTAATTTAGCAGCACCCACCCAGTGAAAAAAGGAAGTAAAGTTGGGTGAGCTCAAGCAATTTGTCAGAAGCCCTAAGTCAATGATTGAGCAAAGTCTTGGTATTAAAGCAGCAAGGAAATAACCCTGCCCCACCCCAATGTTAGGGCTGACTTATGGTGACCGTTGTCCTGAGTCTTTACATTGGGTTGGCAGAGATTTATCAGAGAGAAGGGCAGCCTTAGGGTCTTGGATAAATGTATTTTCTACTTCATCACTTTCCTTTTTGTCTATTTTGTGCACGGAAATTTCACACTTGGGAAATATGTAAAGAACAAGTCATGTAGCATCATAATAGAGTTTGGAAAGGCCCAAATCAAAGTAGTGGCACCAAGTGTGTGCCTTCTCCCTGTGCCCTTAGGTGAAAGAGTGCGAATGTGTATTTGAATGGACTTTGCAGGCCCTCTGACATGAACAGTAGCTCATTGAAGAGAATGGAGACTTCTACCCATCCACCTCCTATGAGCTTGGCCTAGCAAACCTGTATTGGAGATTACCTTCCTAACTCAGGAGTTTGGGAGATCACAAGATTACACTTGTACAATCCTCTTCACAGCATGTACTTCCAAGCAAAACCAATCCAGGATACTGGACATGTTAATGTCTCCTTAGACTGTTCTGAAAGCAAGAACGAGTCCATTCTCTTGCAAAGTGGAGTAAAGTGATTTGTGTTGTGGGTAAAATTCTTTCTACTTTGTTTTCATGACCTACATTTTCCTTACCTTTGGGGGTTGTTGGAATACAGAGTATAGATAGATTTGTAAGGAGTTGATGAAATTCTAAAGTAATTTTTGCATTTTATCTACTCCTACCCACAATGCAGTATACATTACAAATAGCATCATAATTTAACCAAAGCTGTTGCTGATGACCTGAATTTTAACTTGAAGGTGAAAACTGTTGTTATGTATTTTCCTTTTACCATTATTTGAAATTGATATAATTTCATTCTTTTTTGGAGTGACTTCTGAAATATTTGTTTGCCTTTGTTTCTGAATTGTATTTCCTAATTGTCTTGTGAAAACTTGTATGCAACATGCGTGCAAGTCCTTGTCATATAGATAAATTGTTAGTGTCATGTCTGAGAAGAGCTTCCTCCTTTTCCTGGGTACTGCCTTTACTGAATTTTTTAATTAATGAAAATATTTCACCATTGCTTCCTTTACTGAGTATTGCTCCTGATGTCCTGTTCAGATAAATTTTTGCAATCCCACATTTGGAAGTTGATCTTTTTTTCTCTCTCTTTAGAGGAAGCCTTTCCATTTTAGTTTAACTTGTTGCATACATAATCCCTTTCACACTTATATCTGCTTACCAAATGCGATGCCAAAGGTGCCTCCATAGATTTTCTTATACATTCCTGCATTCAGCTCAGCAACACTCATTGGAATATTTTGTCTTCCTTGAGGGTGTCAGGGGCTTTGTTCTGCAAGTGCCCTCGACTGTTCAAGTGCTCTTGAACCACAAGCAGCTTTGTCAGAAGTCATGGTATTAGAATCTGTTGTCTGAAGAACTTATTTTTCTTCTAAAATGCTATTTTAGGTCCTTCAAGTTTCTACACAGAGCTTATAATTAGTTTGTCATTTGAAACAAAGGGATGGATTTTCATTAGAAACACATAAAGCATGAGCTAAATTGAGAGTAAGGAGAGACTTGTAGTTTACAATTCATGAGCTGACATATCTCTCCGTTTATTCAGGATTCTATTTCCTCTTCATGGTATTTTGTGATTTGAAATATGGACATCTGCCTTCTATCTCCCTGGCTTTATTCCTTAACACAGCATGTTCATGGTACCTTTGCAAACACTGTTTCTTAAGTTTTATCTCTAGATTTGTCACATGCACATGGAAACTGCTGAAACATTACCTGACTGGGTTTACTTCTCATTTCAGACAGCCCCATGGCTGATTTCATTTAATTTTACAGATAAAATAGTATAGTATTATTTGTGAATAATGAGAGTTAACTACTATTCCTTGCTACATGGAAATTTAAGTGGGCATTCTTGCTTGTCCACAACATTTCATTATCAGATGTACCATGAATGAATAAACTCAAGTCTTTCAAGAACTTCTTAACAAATAGCAAAATTTCTAATTCTTGGAGAACTTTAAAATTTTTAAAAATATGAGGCCTTAAGTTTCACCGAATCTCTTTCCATTATTCATGACTCCTGTTTGCCACCAGATAGTGAAATTAAGCAGTTTGGGACACTAGATTCTATGCGTTTTTAATATATCCATAGAATGGTGCTATCTTTGCTGCTTTCTGGTTCTAGTCTGTTTTCATTGTATATAGAAATCCTGTGGGGCTGGAAGGCAGGGGCCATGGTAAAATGTAGGGAGAAGTGGCTATATGTTTTATTGCTCTGACATAGGTCAGAAATCACTCACTCACTCACCATTATACAGTATGTCAGTGCAATTTTGCTTAATTGTTTATTAAGAAAATGGGTTAAGAAGAATATTTATCAAACCCAGAAGTAAGATCTGAGATAGAGAATCCCTCCCTTGTCCCCCAAACTTCTTTACAAATTACGCTTAACCATGCATTACTATAACCTTTATATAACATCTATAAAGAAAGTGATGCCACCTGTGTCTTAGTAGTCAAGTTCTTGTGTGACAGTGGCAAGGTGAGCCTTACTCTCCACCCTAGGAAAATATATTCACCCACTAGCAAATTGCTACTTCTGGTTCTACCACTAGGGACTGACTAGAACAGAAATGTGTATCTCTCTCATGGGACACCCTCTCTGAATCACTCAGCCATTTTCAGATAGAATTCTCTGCAGTGCTGAGCCTCTTAGAGATCCTGCACACACCCACAGTATTCTTCTAATCCGCTTCCCAAGGTTGGGATGAACAATGAAAGCAAATTGGCTGAGTTTGCCTCTGGGGTCCTTTGGCATCTTGGGCTTCACCACTTGGGGCTTCACCAGGGCCTTGATGGCCTCTGAACGTGTACTCATGGCCTTTGCATTATTTGCCTGCATCTTCTTCAGGCCTTTCTTGTTGTGCTTCTTGGCAAAGCGCATGTTCCTCAGGAACTTCCAGTCGACACCCTTAAGAGATTCGTATTTATGTGACCGGGGTTTCTTGATGCCATTTCTGTGCCATTTTGGGGACTGGTTGTGTGTGGTGTGGTTCTTGGACTTGGCCATGGCTGAACGGTAACCGGTGGCTCCCGAAGTGCCTGTGACTGGAAGAGAAAGAGCAGCAGCAAGTATCCTTAACCACTAAAGCCTTTACTATAGTCCCTAACACCTATTTCATATAATACCAAAAGTATCCACCGTGAGTATTGTTAGAGATTCCAGCTACTCTTGCAATGGAGGTGTTTGTGTTTGCCCTTTGTCTGTTAAAATATGCTTTATTACGGTAACCGATTTTCAGTAGTGTGCCCAACCTTGCATTCCTGCTATGAACTCTACTTGTTCGAGGTGGTTATTCCTTGCTATACATTTCTGGTTTTGGTTGCAATATTTTATTGAAAATATTTGTACTAACTTTTCTAGGAGATAAAACTTTGTGACATTTTTCTATGATATCAATGTACTATTGATATTACAAAGTTAGTTCATAATTTTTTCTTCCCCTCCTATTTTTCAGAAGAATTTGTTTTATAATTAGATTTTTTATTTTGGTGTTTGGTAGAACTTTATAGTGAAAGTATATATGCTCAGACTGTTTTGTGCAAAGTTAAAAAAAATACAGGTTTTGTCTGTTTATCTAATAGAGATTTATTGAAAAATCCTACAGATGAAGCTAGGACTGGAGGAAAATAGTCTACTTGCAGATAACCCAGAAACTATGTCTAGGAGATTCGCGTTTCTGCCTTCTATGACATATGAGGATTCCATTCTAGGGGATTTCGGATGAGAGGATAAAAAAGTCCTCTAACTCAACCCCACTGAAAGCACAGGGACATAGCTGTGCACTTGTGATTTATCATCCAAGGACCGGTCCTACGTAACATCTACATTCGGTATTCCCAACCTTCTCTAATTAAGGAACAGGAGGAAGCCCACAGGCAGGAACTGAGGTCAGACCAATATGCATGACTGAAAACAAGACTGTGCAGGCTGTTCTGAGACTTGGCTAATATGATGTCAGCAACTCTCAGAATGTTCAGGAGATGCTGGATGGAGCCTGGTACATATCTCTATGATGGGGACTGCAGTGCAGACACCGGAACATAGATGCTTTGGGATGGATTTATACTGTACGTTGAGAAACAGTTGGGTCTTCTATTACATAGTTAGAGACTAAAAGCTGGTGTTCATTTCCCCTACTAGCAATGCAATCTAAGTTTTCCATTTTGAACCGGGAGTTGTGTGACCCCGTAAGTGATAAAGCTGAGACTACACAACAAAATTCCACAGACAAAGGGTAGTAGGCCATGAGAAAGATTGGAGTTGTCTAGAGAAACAAACAAGTTAGATGGAGAAATCTGCGCACTCAGCATTCCCACTGAAACTATACTACCTTTCCTCACAGTTGAGTAAGACTTTATATATGACATGTTCATGCACTAATTCATACATGTACAAATGTTGTTTATGCTATAGGAGTAGATAGATAATAACTGCCTTGTATTTAATAATATTAGAAACAGTGGTTGTGCGGTTGGAAGGAAGCACATGCAAGCATATGCAGCTGATTTACTTACTGCACATTGGACACCCCTGAATAAAATTTTCTCATCCAAACCTAAAGTTAAAATGGATTTTGAAAACTGAAGAGTCTTGATATAATCTTCACTTGCAAAATTAAATGAAATTTGAATTGAACTTTTTTGGTACTCTACACTTTAGAAGGTTTCTCATTCAGAAGTGGGGATGAGGAAACGGCAGAATGGGTGTGCTACTGTAATTGATTGTCAGGCATTTTGTGGATCACAACAATGAATTAAATAAAAATAACTTATGTGAAGAACATTACATATTACTGAGTTGGCTATGGGAGTGTGGGGATGAGTAATTTTCATCAGGGAATACACTCCTGTCACTCTGGAATGGTTGATTCACTATGAAATGAGAATAAGCCCCAAAACCATCTGGAAAAGTTTGAAAATATCTTACCTGTCCTCAGAGATACAGAGAAGAGGGCAATAATTCATTATCCTTGCAAACTTTTTCTTCTGTCTTTATGTAATGTTGCTTTTCACTGAGATTTCCTTTCCATTTCCTATATTTTTTAATAGGAAGGCATTTTCTAAAGTGGAAATATAAAATCAGGTATTTGCTGGAGAATTTCCTTCATGATCTGGCAGCGGTGTTTGTAAATGAAGTATGATCTTGATGAACTCAGTGAACTGTTTCAAGGGTTCCCAACTGTTTCAAGGTACCCTAAGATGATTTTCACACTGAAACTAAATATTTTACTGAGAAAGAGAATCCCTTGGAGATATAATGACTGCTTACTCCCATCCTTTGTAAAAAGTTAGGATAGATGAAAATTTAGGATACTTATATTACTGTGAATTGATTATTAGTAGCTTAATTCTTAGCTATTATGTTCTCTCTTATCCAATACTTTTTGGACATCTTTTATTTAGGAGCAGAAAAAGGAAGTGTTATGATTTGAACATGACAGTTTACTAAACACCCCTTTGCTCTAACACCTTCTTGAGTGGGTCTCCTTTGGGAGGGGGTGTAGACTTTTTAGCAAGTGGGGCATGATGGGACTCTGCTGATGGGGCCTTATCAGTGATAATTCTTCCCTTGTTCAGTCCTGAGTACTCTATGTTTCGTGATCCCCTGAGAGATGAACAAAGTTCCTTGTGCTCCACTACCACCAACAAGATGGTTTTCCTGACACAGTGAGCCATAAATCAATCTCTCTTTCTCTCTCTCTCTCTCTCTCTCTCTCTCTCTCTCTCTCCCTTTCTCCTACCCCTCTCTGTGTATGGGAGGGTGGGTTTCAGCAATGAGATACTACATTCAACATTCTTTCTTAAAAAGCATTTTTATTTTATGCATATGAGTGCTTTAGAAGCTTGTGTTTAAGGATACCACACGTGTGTGACGCTTAGAGGTCATCACAGGACATCAGATGCTCTATAAGGGAAGTTAAAAATGAATGTGAGCCCAAGATAAGTCGTGAGAGCAGTGCCCACTTTCTCTCAAAGCAAGAAGTTTCTCTGACTTCTGAGCCCATCTTTCCAGCCCTGGCAGGCTTTTTACATGACTGCTGCTCACCAAGATGATGTCATGCTTATACAAAAACAGATTTACTCAGCAACCTATGTCCCAGTCTCAGAACAACTTTAAGTGAGAAGTGTGATGAATAAATGGGATACAAAGAGGCTTGCCTTAATATTTATTTGCAAAATGTTTTGACTTTGTAAGACAAAATGAGATAAATCTCAGGAATTTGGTAGCATTGGGATATGTAAACTATCAAACAATAATAGAACTCTTCTCTTCCTTTGTTCTCATGCAGTGGTCCAGGCTGTGTGGAGAACTTTGAGGGCTGGACAGCTGTGCATACCATTCCTTCTTGGTAACATGATCTACATCCACTGTTATTAGACATGTTCAGTGTTGTCTGATCATGAAAATGGAGTCAAAAAGGGAAAAAAATATCCCCAAACTTATAAAGTTCAAGTAAGTACCTCTGCTTTTCTTCTGTCTGTCTCTCTTAAACGTGTTTTCCTAGGCTGTGTGTAGATTGCTGCTAACTGGAAGTTAGGAATGCTCTAACATTATTATGTATGTGTTGATGTAAACATGGAGCTATTAACAGGGGAATCTTTGATAGGGCAAGAATGCAATAGCTTCCCTAAAGCTGTAATCTTGAACTGTCTCTCAATTTCCTGTAGTAGGTTTTTGTTTGTTTTGTTTCTTTTTTTCTTTGTTTCTTTTCCTGTTAAACAGAGTATTTTTGGGAAAGAGGCAAGAAATATTCAGATATCATACCTGTGGAAGTTCATAGACTATAAGTATTTCATCTTTAAAAAGTGAAAAAAAAAGTGCTTCTGGGCTAAGAATACATGCCAAGCTTACTGTGGGCTCACATATTTTACGGTTGATTTATAACCCTCTCAGAAAGGATGGAAACAGTGACACATTAATAACTCCAGCAGAAAGAGTTCTGCATACTTCAAGAAAAAAATAGAGAAAGGAAATAGGAGACAAGGATGGAGAGGGAAGGTAGCTCCTTCTGGGATGGAGGAGAATATCCAACAGTCTACAAGGAGGTTCATAGTTCCTGTCTTTCACAAGAAACAACAAGGGCTGGAGAAGGATGGCTTATCAATAAACAAGGGCTGGAGAGGGATGGTTCAGCAATGAAGAGAGATTGCTGCTTTGGCAGAGCGCCTGGTTTGTTCCCCAACACCTGAATGGACAGCTCGCAACCCTCACTCCAGTTCCAAAAGATCTGCTGTCTTTTGCTCGTCTCTGTAGCCACATGGACTCACATGATACATCTATAGTCAAGCACACACACACATATACATAAATATTTTTAAAAGAAATAATTGACTAGAGGGTTACTTTAATAATCATTATTTGCTATCATCTTGCTTTTCCTTATTCATTTAAATATAGTGCTTTAAAAGTGAACAAGGGCGCGTCAAGAGCATGATGGGGAACACCACAGAGATAGTTGACCTGAGCTACTGGGAACTCACAGACTGTGGACTGACAGCTAGGAATCTGCAGTTTTCTGTGTTGACTCAAGTCTAACTCTTTTTTGCAAATTTGGGGCAACATGTGAGTGTGGAGTCTTTATGAACATGTTCATGTAGTTGTGCACCTGTGCTTAAGGACACACATTAATGTGTTTGTGTGCATGTGTGATGTGCAGGGACCAGGTGTAATTCGAGAGAAATCTTCCAATTACTAGGCCCCTGAATGTGGGTGACAGTTATGTGGCTTGATCTGTTGGGAAGGGAGGCTGGCAGTCACACAAGGACCTATCCTAGGTGCATGGATTGGCATTTTGGAGTTCACTCCCTATGGTGGGATACCTTGCTCAGCTTTGATATGGGGGAGGGGCTTGATCTTGCCTCAAGTTGGTACGCCAGACCTTGTTGATTCCTCAAGGAAGGCCTTACCCTGGAGATGGTAAGGGGGAGCTGAAGGGGTTTGGAGATGGGGAGAGAGGAGGAACTGGGGTTGATATGTAAAATGAAAATAAACTTTTTAATAGAAAT